TTAGGGGGGAATTCAATTTGCGAGGTGGACACCTGGCCCCGGCAATTTTGCAAGGGTTTCAGGCTTAGGAAATGCTAAGGTTTAGGGTTTAGGGTGTGGGGGTTAGAGAATCCCGAACCCCGAGCCCTAAACCGCGTGCTGAAAGTGCTGGCAGCCTAGCAGGGCTTGCCGGAAAAGATGCGATAGGGGTATTCTATTGGGGTTATATAGGGGTTATAGGGGCGATGAAGGGGTTATAGGGGGTTATAGGTGGTATATAGGGATTAGGTTAGATAGGGATAGTGGAAAAGGAATGGAAACTACTACATTATAATAATAGGGTATACTATAGGGGTACTATATAGGGGGTATATGGGGATAATGGAAAAGAAATGGAATTAACTATTTAGTGCTTCTAACGGTGAACCCCAAAACCTTAGGGTTTAGCGTTTAGGAACTGGCCAGCATGGATACTCTGGAAGACAACGCTCTGGCGGCACGGACGGTATTATCTTGGCCATAGACTATAGTCCTTCAAGGGGGGTTATATAAGGATTATATAGGAAAGCATATAGAGGTTATTGAGGAGGATACTAGGAGTTTAGACTATAGCTCATCTTGGCTAGCGTGGATGCTCGGGGAGAGCGTATGCCCGGGTGAACCAAACGTTATTATCTTGGCCAGCATGGATGCCTGTGTACCGCAACGTGGTGACCACGGACGGAGCCCGGCGCCAGGTGTCTTTCTCGCAAAATAATTAGAAGGGCTCCTGGGACATAAGCTTTCCTCGGGAAAGTGTTGGCATTTCTTCAGGCTTCAGCGTTATGGCTTTGGCGGCTTCCCAAATTGGATCTGGGGTTGGGGTGAAGGAGCTACTATGAAGAGAGGTGCCATCATGCATGCCCGGTTGTGCAATGCTCATATGCCAGGACTGCACCTTCCTTGGTAATTAAAAACTACGTACATTATAATAGGGTCTAATATAGGGGTATTGTATAGGAGTTATGTAAGGATAATGGAAAGGAACATGGAAACTACTACATTATAATCAGGTATAATATACAGGTCCTCAACAACCAGTACTACAAGGATCGTCATTCCCACGAAGCCACGCTTGGACATTGTTAAATGATTCATCATGCTGAATGAAAGGATTTTAGCAGGCTAAGGCTGTTCAAGTTGGCGGATAACTTGCGCACGCAGCCCATGCAAGCCATCGACATTCAGGATCATGCCCGGCGCAGAAAGTTGCTTTTCTCACTTGCGAAGTTGGCTGCCAACGCATGACATGCGGTCACGGAAAAGTTTCCACTTTACCGAGGCTTCCTTATGAAGTGGGCACTACTTTCAAAAATGAAATCTGTGAACAGAAGCAGACTGTCCACCATCCTCTTCATAACTCAGACTGGCATGTCTCAAAATGTTGCATCCTGTGGCTGCTTCTTAAGATGCCATCAGCTTTGGAGTACATACATATATGCAGAAAGCTGTATTCTGACGCATGCCAATTTCAAAACAATGGAAAACACGCAGGCTTAGCCTGTCACATCTTCGTTCGAGCACTTTGCCTATAAACCTGGAACGTCTTAGGCTATAGTCCCCCTTAGTAGATAGAATATGGGGCATATGGGGATCTTATTATAATGTACCCAAAGCCACATTCTATCTACTTAAGGGGGATTATAGCTGGCTGAAAGTTGAAACACATTGTAACCCAGCTGAAGGCTTTAGGCAAAAGCTCAAACGGAACGTGGAAGACAGATTATACAATTGATGCCCAAGCGGCATCTCTCGCCGCTAGGTAGGCAGAATGCGAGACATTAGCCCAGACCCGTGGTGATTAATAAACCCCTCCTGTTAATAGGGATTACAATACGGATCCTAATATTAAGGCCCTTAAAAGGAGGGGGTTTATTAATCACGGGTCATCACGGGTCTACATTAGCCAAAATATCTATGCAAGTATGGTTAGTCAACTACGCCATATGACTTTTTAAATGAATGCCGTTTTCGCTACCTAGCCTCATAGATGGGACGTCCCAATGGGACGGATTCTGATCCGCCAAAAATTTTTGTTTACAAGGACTCTTCGGGTGGGCAGATCCCCCCTTACAAAACTTACCTAGCCCTTGCATACCTGCCGGTTACCCCATATGAGCTTTCGTCTAAACTCCTTAGAGGGGGGTTGTATAGTGGATTATATAAGGGACTACTATAGGTGTTATTAAGGGGGATACTAGGAGTTTAGACTATAGCTCGTATAAGTCTCATGTGAGCCCTTGTCTAAACTCCTAGTATCCGCCTTGACTTAACCCTGTAATAGTCCCCTGTAAAGTTTGAAGGAGTGTCTCTAGCTCATGTAAGCCCTATGTAAGAGTACCACGGGTAGCTTCCCACCTGAAAAATCCTTATTTGTTCGATGACCTCTGCCGAAACTGCACTGCAGGCTTTTGTTGCAGAGTTTAAGGCTTTAGGGTTTTGGGGTGTAGGGGACCCCCCAGTAATAGTGACTATAACGGGTAATGGTAATTATGGTAAGGTTCTTTTATAAAAGTAGTACACCGCTATTACAGGGTCCGGGGTCCACCTAAGTTGTCCATGTTCAGGATTTGGAGATTTGATTGGGGTAGAGGGTTTGGCTGCAGGTTAGGTTGTCAAAATATTGTTACTTTTTGGATTAGCACTCTAAATGCGGCCTCCAATACTTACACAGAAGGGACATCATTCTGACAACCCCGCATGCACCCATAGAAACGCATGTAAATCACTGTACATATCAGTATATTCTCCAAATTATGGGCACCTTTTGGTTCTGAGTTTAGGGTTTAGGCTAAACCCTAAACCCTAAACCCCTAACCCCTAAAACCCCTAAACCCAACCCTCCCTCCCCCACCCCTGGTTTAGGGTTAGGTATATATAGTACAACACCTAATGTTGAGGGGGGCCCAAGGCGGGACCCCAAAGTCTGGAACTCCCCCTATCATATGAGCTGTAACCTAAACTCCTAGTATCCCCCCTTAATAACCCATATGATACTCCCCTATTTGACTTTAGGGTTCGAAGTTTGGGACTCAACAGACACCTCAACATCAGAAAAATCGGACTGGCTATGGCGGGTGGTACTGGTAACGTCCACAGACTTGAGTTTCTCCAGTTGCGACCCATCCGACAGGCTCTGACGCTGCCCAGGCGAAGACTTGCCTAGGAATAGGTTCGGGGCCCCAATAGTGCCCCAATAGTTGTTGGAACTACCTTATACGGATGACAGATTGAGGCTAAAACAGCTTTGCAAAAAATGTTTCAAAACCACCTCTGGTACCGAAAAGGATAGCATCTTCCATTCCCAGCGCTTCCACCTTCATGCTGTCATGCAAGCTTGGGCACCTGCCACCATCCCCGCATCAACGGAGGAGTCCGGAGAATCAAGCCGAAACAACACTGTCTCGACAGCAACAGACTTGCTAACATTACTCTACCTAAACCACATGCCCGGTAACAACATAATATAACCCATGTAGTAACCATTGGTAACCTACTTACTAAGCGTCCCCGTGATCCATCAAGTAGTACCGGTAATCAGGCCTTTCTGTATCATAGGAAGCTGGTAAAGGGCCACCGGTGACCGACGTTGCAAGGAGCTCCAACTGGCTGTGAACAACTGATCGTGACTGCTTCAGGTAGTCCCCGGCTTCTTGGAAGCAGTTTTCCAGGACCATGAATGCTGCCTGCGCGCGTTGCAAGTGCATGTCATGATGGATTCGTAGTGTCACGTAGCCTGGTGCTCACCAGCAGCAAGACAGCATCTCAAATGGGATTGAGGACCTGCCTTGTGAACTAACTGGTAATTTACCGAAACAGGGGGACCCAACCTGCCAATTCAAAACTGATCGTTTTCACATAGATCATACTGCTAGCAGCGCGCCTACATCCATGAATTTTGAAGGTCCGGCCAAAGCAATTACTGCTGTCATTGATAATATTACTGCTGTTCTTGTCATTATGGTTCTCATTCTGATTACCAATACTACTTAGTGGATCTGGGGGAATACTTACTAGGTCCCCCTGACCCCCCAACCCTAAACCGTATAATATAGTAGTTTCCAAATTTTTCATTATTACTAACTGACCCTCCAGGTATCACTACAGATCCCGGCCTCTATGGCCGACTCCGCATCACGCTGAGGTTGCTTCTGCAGAGCCTGTCTTGATGCCTTGGGTTGCTCCAAGCACTCGGCATCGCCTGGGACCTGAAGGCCCATTATTATTACCATTATTAATATCATTACTACTACTACTACTACTACTACTACACTACTACTACCACTACTACTACTACTATGAGAACTCTTCTTAGTACTGGTATTACTATTGGTATTACTCTTGGGTTGGGGTTTCGATGGTCCTGAAGAAGGGGTGATAGAGGAAACTAGAAGGATACTAAGGGCAAGGTGACATAAGGATTTTGCGCGGATATCTGTTCATAGATGTACCTAAACACACACACATATGCATGTGTATATATACATGTGTATATATGTATCCACGGGGTTATACAGGAATATGTGGCAAGGATCGCTGCAGAGTTGATTACTGCGCGCAGCCGCGGAGAACAAGACTGCAAGTACATCATTCATGTCGCTGTGATCTGGCTCGTTAGCTTAGAGTCCCTTTTAAGTAGATAGAATATGGGATATATGGGGATCTTAGTATAATATACCCGAAGCCATATTCCATCTACTTAAGGGGGACTATACACCTGCAGAATCTGAGGGTGGATGCGGCAACGCCAGGTGCATGTGCCAAAACTGAAGCCGTTACTTCGACTATTATGCTGTCTTCTGCTCTGTGGGGGCACATTGAAAATTCGTAGTTTCCATTTTCTTTTCCATCATCCCTATATAACTCCTTCATACTACCCCTGTATTATATCTGATTTTCATGTAGTAGTTTGTAGTAGTTTCCATTTTCTTTTCCATTACCTATATAGCCCCCATATGATACCCCTATAACTCGGGCCTGTCCTGGTGCATCTTTAGGTCTGCATCATCGACTTCTGCATCATCCACTGCTATCGGCTTTTCGCAACTGTCTTCTGAGGCCTCCAGGATTCAGCACAGCATGAAATCCGAAGACTCTGTCTACGTCACACTCTGACCTACAAGTGATAATTGTACCACTATGCGGCGCTGGAGCTAGCTTTGCGCTTCTGAGATACGTCAGAACAGCTTGTGAAGATTGATGTCTGGCCTGCTGTGTCTGTCCAACTGCGGCGCTTGGCCCACATCCGTGCTTAGCGGCGAGATCGTTGACGACAAGAGACAAACGGTCCACCCTTTCAAACACAGAGTTGAAGTTCTGGTGCGAAAAACGTAGCAGCTCTTCCTTCAGCGAAGTGTCTTGGTGCTGTATGTCGTCGAGACTCCCAAGCACTAGATGATTAGAATAGGGACTCTAGATCCTTAGGGTATTAGACTATTAGGGAGCAGCCTCTCCAGCTCTTCCAGTTTCTGCAGAAAATCCGAAACAGGGAGAAAGCCATTCGCGCTAGTTGTTGCTAGACATTGGTGGAAGTCATTGATTTGGGCTTTGAGTCTTGCAGGTTTACCGATGAAGGACTCGTTAAAGGCAGTCTCTCAAAAAAGGTAGGTACGACAGCGACCAAACAACGAAAATCGCATGTAAGACATACTGTGAAGCGTAAGACTCACACTACTGACCCCATCCCTCCACACTGGCCCAAACCGCATGGCATTCCCTATGCGGCAAAACTCTGCGTGAACATCCTGCTGATGTTTTTTTCAGCTCTTGGGCTTAGCTTTTCACTACAATGACAAGAAAGCAAAACTAGTTCACATACCACAGCAAGCGTCCTGTTGTGTCAGCGCACGTAGGAGATTGTATTTGATGAAGCGCGGAGCTGTTTTCGAGTCATGTACCCAACCTTACTTGAGATGGAGAATTGGTAGCCCCTATGTCACCCTCTCTACAGATGTTAACTCCCCAATGCCCCCCGTAAGAACCAGAAACCAACTTGCAGGTATGAGCTATAGTCTAAACTCCTAGTATCCCCCTTGTTAACCCCTATAACAGTCCCCTATATAATCCCTATATAACCCCCTTTAAGGAGTTTAGACCATAGCTCGTATGGGGATACGGGCCATCCAGGGCTTTTGGCAGGAAAAGCAAGCACAGAATGCGGACTGCCAGTTGCTCCCATAACGTCCCTTCCCAAAACCCCCCAAGGATCTAAAACATAGAACCTCCCAATCATCCCCCAGGTTCCCCAATGCAGTAATGGATCATTTCTTGGGGGTTCTGTTTTTTGGATCCTTCAGGGGGTCTGGGTTGTAATGTGCCGTCCTCCCTACTAACCTCGCGTGTTGGCTTCCATATGGACAGCATCTTCTTGGACAAATCTGTAGGGCAAGATGCAGTCCACAACTGATTATGCTCCCCCCAAAAAAAGTCCACCCGTTCAAACTCCTCTGAATTGTCTTCATTTTAAGGACTCCTCTAAAAGGGAGCCCCTAATTGTTGGAAACCCCCATCTAGAAAGGCCTACAGCTGCAGTAACCTTGGAGGCTCAATCTGAGATCTGGAGTTGCAAAACCGGGTTTAGGGTTTAGGGTATTAGGTTCCCCAATAGCCCATAAACAATAGGGGTACCCTTTTTCCTACTGTTCAGCTTTAATAAGGAGGCCCCGGGTATTACTGGGGTACTTAGAGACACTGCGATGGAGGAGTAAATAATTGCCAATATCATTTTGAGGTCATGTTGAGGTAGCCTATACTAGAATTGTGCAACTAGGCCCAGAATGTGGGTAACCATGAAGGCCCCGGCATTGCAGCAATTTGAAGTATGTGAAGGCTGTGGACACTCCATGGTAGATCCCTGATTATCAAGAAACCGGCATTACAGCAATTTGAAGCATGTGAAGGTTGTGGACACTCCATGATAGACCCAACACCAATAAGACCATTTTAATTACTCCACACCCTAAACTTAGGACCCTCTTGTAGTCAGATGGGAGTTATAAGGTCTTGTTACAGGTGTTTGGGTATCTCGAATCCCCTCATATAAGCTGCATGTAAGTCCAGTTTCCATTTCATGTTTCATTTTTCCGTTTATGGCTGCTAATTATTTCAGGCCCTGGTAGCTTCCATTTTCTGTTCCAAAGTCACTGCCGCCCCTTTGCTGCCCAGCTGCGGCTTAAGGGGACGATGAACTCCTCCATCGCAATGGAACCTGATGCATCCACGTCGATCATGTCAAATAGCTGCTGCAAATCGACCTGACATGCAGGGTTCGCACTTCATACGCTTCTTGTTCTTTAATACTCTCGTGCTGAAATTACAGCTTCAGGAATTTCATGTGTTTGAGAAGTGGTTGCCGCCTCGTCGATGTCCATCACCTTCAACCTGCTCTGGAACTCCGAGTCGTTGTGAGCGCCATCCAGTAGCTCGTCCAAAGTCAACTGGCCATCCTACATCGGGTTATATTAGGGGTATATTGGGACAATG